GAGAGAGAGAGAGAGAGAGAGAGAGAGAGAGAGAGAGAGAGAGAGAGAGAGAGAGAGAGAGAGAGAGAGAGAATGACAGGAGGTAAATACTAAGTATTGATGAGCTACAGAGCTACAGAGAGGTCAACAGCAAAGAGGGAGAGGAGAGGGTGCAAAGGGGTTGGGGGGAAAGGAGGGAGAGAGGAAAAGGAGGAGGAGGGGTCCAACCTCTGGATCGTTGAGCGCTGCGCCATGCTCGTAATACCTGAGGCAATCACTTTGATTTCCCTCCACAAGGCCTGCACCCATCGGAAAACAAAGGTGATATACATTTCAGACCAGATTGAAAGAGTCCGTGCAGCCATATCACCTCTCAGGCTTTGACAAGTTCTTATTATTACCAGATGACCCGTTGCGGCTTCAGCCGCAAAACAGAAAAAGAAAAAAGCACAAAAGAAAGAAAACGCATAACTGCCCTATCATATGCCGCTTCTTTCACAATAAGAAAAAGAAGAGCCTGAGAGCAGACGAAAACCCGCGTGCAAGAAAATAGCAGGGAATACCACCGAACTTTCTTTTTTCTTTATCTTTGCATGTTTTGTTTGGGGAGCCATTACCTTTGCAGCATCATTTTTGTTTTGTGCTGTGCAAGAACTCTGGACTTTTCTGAGAAAATCCAGTCCGTGTCCCGTTGATGTTTTTGGTAAAGATTCAGAGTCTCAGACCAGATTCAAAACATCCGTGCAGCCATATCACCTCTCAGGCTTTGACAAGTTCTTCTTCTTTTTTTTTTTTTTGTTTAAACCACCAGTACTTCCTGAATTCGCTCTGCGTATACGGCCAGCCAAAAGTGGAAACCGCGCCGTTTCCACTTGGCTGAATCGGGCCTACCGGCCCAGGCCCGTTCATTCCAAATTTCGCTCCGCGTATACGGGAGCGTTTTCAGGAAGTACTGGTGGTTTAAGGCTTTCACAAGTTTTCAAACCAAACTAACTTCAGAATCGTCAGATACTCCAACCATATTCACACTGCGAGTTTTATTTTGACTCATCATCTTGACATAATTGCGGTCAGATACATCCACACAAAAGTCCCAGTATGAGTTCGCTACGTTGCTATTATGCTCTCGTTCATGTATCTTACCAACAATCATGGACTTGTTCGTGGAGATCTCCACAGCTCCCATTCATTTATCTCGATGACCTGCATCGCTTTTTGGACCAGTTTGAAGATAAATCAAGTGACCCTACAACTTGGTCAGCTGAATCTGGCCATGGTCCTACACTGGTCCTACACTGGTCCCATACTGATCCCATTCTGTTCCAAAATACTGGTTCTACAGTGTCCCATATAGAGGTCCCATAATTGTCCCATATTAGTCCCACACTGATTCCAATACTGGTAGTATAGGGTCCAATACACTGGGCCCATACTCGTCCCATACTGGTCCCAATGGTGGTCCTAATCATGGTCCCATACTGGTCCCAATGCTGGTCCTAATCATGGTCCCATACTGGTCCCATACTGGCCCCAATGCTGGTCCTAATCATGGTCCCATACTGGCCCCATACTGGCCCCAATGCTGATCCTAATCATGGTCCCATACTGGTCTCAAACTGGTCCCATACTGGTGCCATATTCCTTGGTGAATAACAAGGTGAGGTGAGGTTCCAGCTGTGGAATGGGACACCGTACCATAGTAATGGAGGTCGCCGGCTTCAACAAGTGCGACTTCATGATCCAAAGCCGCAAGCCGCAACGAGTAGTCGAGCGCCAGTTTGTACCTCCTCTGCAAATAGGAAGCGCTAAAGATGGGAGGGAGTGGAAAGGGTGGGTGGGCAGGTGGGGGGGTTAGAGCAAAGACAGATCACCAGCAACCGAAAGGAACGCACAAGGTAAAGGTTGATGTAGCCAATACAAAATTATTAAATCTATAAATTTACTTTATTTTATTGTTCATTGAAAGACTATGGACTAGTTCATCTGATTGATTTCAAATGAAGGGGAAAGAGTAGGCAGAGCAGCAGCAGCAGCCGAAGAAGATGACAGTGGAGGAGGAGGAGGAGGAAGAAGGAGAAGAAGAAAACGACGACGACGAAGACAGAGACAAATACGAAGAAGAAGACGAAGACGAAGACGAAGACGACGAAGAAGACAAAGACGAAGACGACGACGATGACGACGACGACGACGAGGAAGACAAAGACGAAGAAGGCAAAGACGAAGACGAAGACGAAGACGAAGACGAAGACGAAGACGAAGACGAAGACGAAGACGAAGAAGAAGAAGAAGAAGACGAAGAAGACGAAGAAGACGACGACGGCGACAACGAAGAAGAAGAAGAAGAAGAAGAAGAAGAAGAAGAAGAAGAAGAAGAAGAAGAAGAAGAAGACAATTATGATGCTGTGCATTCACATCTTCTTCTTGTTGTTATTTGGAAACAAGAGGGACGGCAGCACTTGCCATGACTGTTATTGCATTCTAGCCTCTACCATACTTGCGGCGCGTAGGTGAAGTGCGCTGCGCAGTGCCCTAATCGCAAATGCGCGCGCACGCGCGCAGACAAAAAAAAAAAAGAAAAAAAAAAAAAAGAAAAAAAAGAAAGAAGCCAGCAACCGTGATGTGTATATATCGTCAAATAGAACTGCCCGGTAAACCGTAGGCAGAGAGGGAGAAGAGGACAACAAACGAGGGGCTGTGACAAATATGTTGCATACTGTGACGTGCAGACCAGAACAAGAACCGACCTCTCAATACAAAGTGTAAGATAGCACAGTGGAAGACTTAGATACCAATGATCCGAACAATCAATATTGCAATGCAGCCCTGAACATACATCATCATCATCGTTACCTGGTGTGAATGGGGTCTGGCGCTTCACACAGGAAGACTGCGCCAGCCCCCTATCATACACAGACGAAGGAGATGGGGGTTTAGACGAAGAAGAAGGGGGGGCAGATGGGAATGTCGTCAACACCAAGTGTTCAGCACAGTCCCAAATAGTCCTTTGTCGAAATGTCTGAATCCCAAATGTCGAGTCTGGATCCAATGTCGTCAAGTCTCAAGTCACAACTCTCTCTCTCTCTGTAGTAGTCCACCGATACTGAGAAATCAGGTGGTGAGAGGGGAAGAAGAGATGGCGGACTTAGAAGAAGAGGAAGTAGAACTCTCTCTCTCTCGCTCTCAGTCCGGTACTAACCTGTGAAGTTGGCGCCTTGATGCAGGTACCTCGAAGATTGAGCTGGAGCTATGGCGCCACAGGTAAGTCTCGCTCGCCTACGCCAGCCATCTCTCCTAACTCTACGATCTACCACCTACTAGCGCCCAGCGCTGAAGACTAAGCTATGGCTATGGGCGCCCAGCGCCGAAGACTACTACTAGCGCTAATACCACTGCCTAGCACTGAAGACTACTGCAGCGCTCCTCCTGAGTGCTGCGGCTGAATCCTGAAGACTACTCGTGCCTACTGACAACTACCTCCCTGAGAAGTGCATGGGAACTTCCTGTGTACTACTGGGTGTGCCTCCTGACTGCAGGCGAGCAGTCCAGGAGGCTCCTCTTGCCAATGCCGAAGGGAGGCAGGGGCTGCAGCTGCAGCTCCTGCTCGAGCTGGCGTGGGGAACAGGCTATTTCTGGCCTGTTCCCGAAACCCTGTTTCCGTGCCTGAGTCTTAGGTAGGTCTAACACAATGAGGGCCTGAAAATGGCCCTCCGTTTCAGGCTGAAAAGCCTCTGGGCCTGAAAGGCCCGGAAATGGACTGAAACGGAATAGGGCCTGCAGGCCCTCGTATTTCAGCTTTCAGGCTGAAATGACCGGGGCCTGTAAGCCCTAAGTTTTAGGCTTTTAGGCTGAAAGTGCAGGACGGACCCTGCAGGGCCCATGTGGCTACGCAGTATGCCACACCCTCCCCTTCTTGAAAGACCGAGCTTACCTGCGAGGGCAAAGCTGTCTGTCTGAGGGAGGGACCACAGTCCGGGTGGGAGGGGCAGGTCGTGGAGGTCCCTTAGCTAACCTTTGACGCTCGTAGTGAGCGTAGATCAGCGGTGCGGATGCTTTCAAATCTTCTCCTGAAATCCACCGAGTGTCGTCGGGATCGCATACTCTGAATGTGACTTTGTACTGTCGCGGCTTGCTGCCGTACTTGCGATCCGAGATGACGCGGTCAACCTCCTGATGACCATCCATAGATGGAGGATCCTGCGACCGTCAGCCCAGAAAGTCGTCACTCTTAGCTGGCGTGTATGTTGCCAGCTTCGAGGCGTGAAAGACTGGATGGACCGTCAGATGGTCGGGTATGTTGATCACAAATGAAGGGCCATCGGGCTCATCGCCCGCGGCTGATGTCATAGACCATGGTCCAAACCACTTGGGAAGCAGTTTGCGTGAAACATCATGTTCCAGTGCAAACTCTTCCGCGGAGACCCAAACCAGATCACCAGCGCGGATGGGACATGGCACGCGACGCCAATTGGCTTGCTGCTGCATGCAGACTTAAGCCTTTTGCATGTTCGCGCGGGCTTGAGTCAGCAATTCCCTGTACTTTCGGACGGAAGCGGGAGAGCAAGCGGCGTCAATGTCGGCTGGTCGAGGGAGGAGAAGGTCGGCGGAGATACGGCCTTTCCGTCCACCGTGGTGCAACTCGAATGGAGTCACGCCGATCGCCGGGTGCACCGAAGTGTTGTAGGCGAACTCGATGTCGGGGAGGTGGTCAACCCAATCTTTCTGGTCCGGACGGATGAGCGTACGAAGCATCATTTGAGCGGTTTGATGTGCCCACTCCGTCTGCCCGTCTGTCTGTGGATGCCGAGCCGAACTTGGCTTCATCTTCGTGTCGGACTCCTGCATAAGAGCAGTCCAAAATGCCGATATGAAGCAAGTGTCGCGGTCGCTGACTATGTCTTCTAGTACACCATGGCCACAAATCCAACCGGTGTGCGGGAGGCGTGCCAGCTCGGGAGCCGTGGAGTAGTACTTGCAAGGAAGAAAACGCGTGTACTTAATCGGTCCACAACCATGAGGATGCCGTCGTGTCCGAGCCGGTCGCGAGGGAACGGACCGGTGACGTCCATGGCAATGGAGAGGCCGGGGTCCCGTGGGATGGGCATCGGGCGTAACTCGCCATAGGGATTGCGGTCGCGGGGTTTGCTGCGTTGACAAACTTCACAAGAGTCACAATACCGAGTGACATCGATAATGAGGTCAGGCCATCGGAATCGTTGTCGAAGCCGTGCAATGGTGCGGTTGACTCCGAAATGGCCGGCGAGTCGCGAGTCATGGTACTCCCGGAGAAGGCGAGTCCGAAGACGACGGTCTCGTGGGACACACAATAAGTCCTTGCCTCTCGAGTGGAGGAGCAAGTACCCGTCGGCAATGCGATAGTGGCTGGCCGGCGGGTGATCCGAAGATAGTTGTGCATATAGCGTGGCAAAGTTCGGATCAGACTCGTATGCCCGGATGAAGTGTCGCTGAAGCTCCTCATCGAATGCGAAGGCATGATGTGTCATAGCGCAAAGATCAGGTCTTCGCGAGAGTGCATCTGCTGCACGATTTGAGAGGCCGGGAAGATGTTTCGGTGTGAAGTCAAACTGGTCGATGAAGTACATCCATCGTCCGATCGTGCTGCTCACCGTATCCTGCGTCTTGTAGTAGGTCAATGGATTGTTGTCCGTAACCCATGTGAACCTACGACGCCCAAGGAGGAAGTGCCGCC